TATTATTCCAATACCACCCACTAGAGTTCCTGTTCAATTTATTCAATCCCATTAATATTCCTTACCCTTGGCCACTCAGTTAACTATCACACCTTTCCACCCTTTCTCCCATGACCACTCACCATAAACACGACTTTGCGGAAATTCACTCTCCTGTCATTTGACCTGCTCGGAATTATCTCCTTACAATATCTCTTGATCAGCGCTTTCATATGGCAAGCACTCGACAATAAGTTTTTTGCTGCAAACGATTGTAGATCTACGAATTGTGAAGCGTGCAGAGCAGTAGTTAGTTGAATGTCTAATGCGTACAAGGAACAATATCTAATTTATTGTTTGAGATTACGTGATTACGCCCTATTTTCTACTTACACAGTTGAAAGTAGCGCATAACTTGCATGTGCCACGACTCAACCGGGAACGCCTATGCCTATGAAACCATCAAGCCTCGCTCAATGAGCAATCGTTCTGCGAATCACCGGCATCTAATCGTGCAATTACATTTGTTCCATCACAATTCGGCGTGGCGGCTTTATTCGATCGTATTCCGGTCGGTCGTCTTTTGGTGCAGCTACGATGGCCAATGTCGTCGCCTATCTATTTCCCGTGGAAGTTCGGGTCAATCAAATGGCAAAAATTTCATATGCAAGTCGTTTTGTCTGATGTGTTCCGTTTGTGTAAGATAAGTCTGCCAGAATTTCAGTCTTTTAACTGTGAGCGGAAATTATTGCAATATTTGAAAAATGTCTATTAATTGTCACGGCTGGTGCTGAAAATCGGCTGATGCTGAAATCCTTGTGACCGATTTTCTGTACTCATTAACAATATTGTTTCACTGCCGACCATACTTCTTCGTTTCATAAATTCTAGGACCAGAGGATTAACGAGCGTTTAATCAGAGTCCGGGCCGTCTACGTGAATTTTCCCCGTAGAAACTGTAAAAAAGGGAATAGCTACGTATGCACGCTATTCCGACCTGAACAAAATTCCCTGACACGTGGAACTGAAATACGAGAGCAGATCTAATGGTAATTGTACAGGTAAAGAGAAAAAAGATCCTTCGAAAAATATTGTAGGCAAGAGAATAGATGGGATTAGAAGAGACGGATACAACTATTGAAAAGAATGTGGGCGACCGTTAAATGTGAGGAAGGTGATGCGTTATGCATTAGGAAGGGTAGCCCAAGGTAAAAGTACAATGAATAGATGTCTAATTCGTAGATCGATAGCTCGGTTCAAAGATAGTTATAGTATTGAATAAAGAGCTTTGGGGGTATCACATACCGAGCTAGTAACAGATAGCTATTGGACGAAATAATCTTTTTCTATATGTATCCCCTTGTAAAACCCATCCCATTCTGAAAAGTCTGTTGCTCGGTAAAGTATTTATAGTTTTGAAACTCGATATTTTCAGACTTCCTATGCCTAGATGCTTCTTCTCCGGTCCTATGTGACTCAATCTAATCCGAGCTGTGCGTATTGCTACTGTTCGCCGCACCCCTTGTTCCACTGATTTTTCAACTCGCGACTCAGGAGCGTACCCTTAATTACGCATTCTGGATATGCCTATGCCTCGTTGATAAACAGAGAAAGCCTCAATTTTGCTGCAGCAGTATTTTCTTGTTCTGACTTTCAAACCATCTTATTAAAGTTGTCACTCGTTTACGCATTAAGTAAATTTCAGTCCAACAGTTTAGATTTCCAATACGTATTCTGTCCGGTGTAACAGTAAATCTTAATCGTCTGGCATCGAAAACGTAAATTGCATCCGGAATTCGGTAAAAAGGGAACAGTCCCCAACTGTGTTACAACAGCAATTAAATGCACTCAGCTGGACTGGTGTGGTTGAAGTTTGAGAGAAAGTGGTGCGCGCTCATGCATGCATTCAAAATGTTCAATGTCATCATACGCAGCCCTATTAGAATGTGTGGGTTAGACTTTGCGACACGGCTTTGGTCTAAGCAGGTGGCAGAACACGCGATCTTATGTATCATCAATAAAAATTTCTTTTGCCCACTTACACGCCATGAATATATGTTACTCCCAACTGATTCCCCAAGTCTTTGAATTCAAGATATTCTCATATCCATCCTCTACATGTTAAAAAACTTCCTGAAAGACAGTTTTCCAAGTCTGGAATTGTGCAATCGAAGAGTTTGAGCAATTTGTAGTTCTTCAAATGCAAAAATAGTTGGCAGCGTTTGATAATACACGGACATATAGATACCTTCCAAAAAATCGAATTATCCTTTCAAGGGGTGAACATAGTCTAGTCTGTCGATAACGCATAATTCCGTTTATAGTCACAATAGTGAGATCAAATGACGCGTCTCGCGAATTATGTTTTCGTTTGATTAGCGTTTTAATTTAGGAACCTAATCATACCCAAACAAAAAAGAAGGTAAAGTGTATTAAGTTAATTGTCTTCATTGCACGAACCACATTACAACTCCAATCAATATAAACGAACAACTAACGGGGACTAACAATATCACCACCAATAGTTGTAGTCTTGTTCATTGAGGGTGTGCTAGCCAACCTCTCGTCCAGTGGATCAGCTGGGACGTTTCCGAAACTGTAGTCCTTTGGAACTACGAAGTACAACACCTTATTCAGTCTCAGGCATGCCACGAGGCCTCAATTTTCTCTAACTGCTGTTTCTTTCTGAGCCGACTTTTGCTCATCTGTCAGACAGACCTGTCATCATCAAAACGAAAAAGTGGTTTGGGAGATGCTGAGATTCATTGAGGTGGAAAAAGACGAGCTGATGATTTGGAAGAACCGGTGGTCGCGACGTAATTTCCTGTGAACGAGTGTCTGACGGCTGCTATTAAAAGAAAAAGTCTCTTCTCACGTTCCTAATCAAGATTTGTGCTGTCTAGTTAGAACGTAAACCAAACGCTTACGTCAGATAATGCACAAGCGACATATGTATTACTACTGCAACATTAATATATACCGTAATCATTTCCAGCATTCTAAGCCTTTCCATAACTTCTGTTCGGTATCACGTCTCTTATCTCCAGTCGTCGAGTTATCTGAAAAAGGACAAACAATTAACATTAAATAACTTGGGTTAATCTAATGGATGAGCAAATACGGACAACATTTACATATATCAGTAATTCCTTAGCAACCAATAATTATATCAATTCCTCTTGTCTAAATTGCATGCAACAAATAAAGTGTTACTGCCGATATTATGAAATTTGCACATTGTAACATATTTACCTTATCCAAGTCCATTCACTGCAAATCCTAGGAATGAAAAACCATACTCTGCTTAGATAAGGCCATTATTGACAAGTCAATTTAAACCAACTTGATCTTGCCTGACGAAATAGATGGCAACGTTCAAACGCCCTGCTAAGGCGAAGAGTAATAGGCAATAAGGCACGTACCTACTTTGGTGTGCTTGTAGTTTATTATTATCTTAAAAAACGAGTTTTGTAAGTAACGCGCGTTTGATGAAATGTGAAACGTATTATCACGTGGTTTGTGTGGGCTTTTCTTATTATAAGCGGAGTGCGATTACGATGGGTTACTCAATCTAGATATCTGGGTATTACTGTATTATGCTTTTCTGTCTCAAGCAGCGAGCAACCTACGAATACCCAGAGATACTGACGTCCAATAATAGTGGGATAACTCAGTGTCCATCTTTTATTATTTTATTTAACTTTTCATTATTTCATTTACTCGAGAATATTATTTAGTATTTTACTATGACATACAAGCGATATTGCGCAGGTTTATACTCCTTAATAAAGATGTAAAGTTTATGGAGTATACTCAGTGTCATATTGCTTTTAACACACTCATGATAATCTAAATACAAAGTATCCTACTACCACTTATACATTCGTAATCCGCGCAAGTCGATTTACAACATCCCTCTTACCCCAAAAATTTAAACACAACAACAACATGGCATGCGCAGAACCTTCCCCGCAAACTTGGAACAACAATTCGACGAGGCCTATCGCAAGGCCAATCTCGTCTGCAGTAAGGCCGAACTGCTGGCGTACAACAACAGGCCGAACAAGCATGGGTCACCGAGGAGGCCCAAAAATGCGTTTTTCATATTTACTGTAGAGTCCAGAGAACGCATGGAGGTTGGGCTTTATAGCTCAACCACAACTCAGTCGCGGGATGTTTTCCGGCATGCGGGACAGGCGTGGCAGAGGTTGAGCGCAGGGGAGAGGCGCGTCTACGTGCTGGCGGCCAGCGTGGTGGAAAAGAAGTTTTACGAGGACAATCCGGGTTATGTGTATAACCCAAGAAGGGGCCGCTCGAAACAGTGTCCGCCACGGCGACGACGGATGAACTTCAAAACGAAGGGGAGTTTGCCGAGATATACGAACGATTCTCGGATCCGTCGTGGGTGAAGCCTGGAAACGTCAGTGATCCGGCGGACATTATTTATTCCATAAAAACTTGGAATGGGTTTTCTTGGAACGGACCGTAGACTCGGGTTGTCATATTTATTAGCAATATTCCGTGAAACAGTTTGTACAGAGTTACCATACTCTATAACAAATAAAATTATTCTTATTATTATGTGATTTGTTGTATTTTCTCAGGCTTAATATACTTGAACGTGTTTCGTTATCGATAATGGTATCACTTTCCTTCATTCTCTGATCATAATATTTTACTTTTTCAGTGAATAATATACACTGTCCTAAGAATAGTTTTTATGGTAAACGGGGGCATTTGGCGAATTATTATAATGGAATCAATTATGATCAAAACATATTCATCACAATCATAAAATAAAAGCATTTTTCAAAGTGTATAATTGTAGCACATTATGTACATTATGCGTTTCATTCGTTCAATGTATAACATTTTACTATAGCTATTATAAATATGCTCTAGTTTATTGGCCCTGAACATTAAAAGTTATAAACGGCTCAATAAAAGTTTCGCTTAGTAAGAAGTTTAATTATCCCGTCTACCTTATAGTATGATATATCGCTTATATTATTTATGGCGAGAGAATCTCTATTATTATCATATCCATTATTTGTTCACCGCGACGCAAAGGATTTCTCTCCGAATTATTGATTCACGGTATTATTAGAATCGTGCTAAGGGTATTTCATTGCCTTAGATTGCGTGAATTTTTAGACAAGTAATTTAATAATTGAGTAATTCTCAATAGTGAAGTTTAGACGGCTTACAATTTCTCTTCAGCCTTTTATCATTTCTTTTGTAATTCAATGCCGTCCCATGATTTTTGACACTTTAAAATACCAATGTACCAGTCCGGTTAATTTATTTATCCAAACACTGTATCATACTAGAGGCCAGCAATGCTGACGCGCTCAGTCAACGAAACACGATGCCATAATAGAAAAAAAAAACGGTAAACGCCTACTAAAATTGTATGAGTAAAAGTTTAATTTTCGAGATTTTAAACAACATATACTGTATATGTAACATTTATACAGTTGTTATGATGTAATGATCATTTAAAAATTTCACTTTCTTTCTGTACGTCACTGGTAAATTAGTATCTTCGCCTTGACAGACTGCAAATAGATTACGCTCAAGTCAACATAATTCACGTCTGCTTTAGCAATTACAGTATATGGGAATTGACAAATAGCAGACATCCTGAGGGTTTCGTTCCGTCTCAGTTATTATCAAGTGTGCTTCTCGTCGTCTCCCTTGCCCAAATATATGCCTCCGATTTCTCTCATGATTATTGATAACGGTTGAATTATCTGATTGTTCATGAGAATTATTTAACGTTCGTTTTTGCTTGCCGGTGGAAAATATACACTTGAAAATATTCAACCATTACATCGAATCTGTCATCAAAAGGTGACCCACTACTTAATTCGAATTCTTTTTCCTCGATGTACAATTCTTACGAATGTCGTTGAATAAAAAGTTCATCATGTAGTTTTTCCTCATGGTCTTTCTTTATTTATCTGAGTTTTTTACCTAATTTACTATTTCAGCAAGAACATAAATAGCTTTTCACGTAGTAAAGATAATTATAAATTGACTGTATACTGTATACGGTATTATAATTAATATTATTAACATTTACGATTATCAGGG